TGAATTTCAAGATTGAAGACCGTATAGCTTTCAGGCTTTAGTAAGTGAAAAGCGGCAACAAATTTAAATACATTATCGGAAGCTCGAATGAACTGGGTTAATGGAGTAACGGACATTTTGACGAAATAATAGAAAAATGCAAATTTGTACTCAAAAACCTTGTTGTAAAATGCAACGATAAAAATATTTAAGGATGAAAAAGCTCGAAATATGTCAGGAGTCACAAAAATCGCAAAATATGCAAAAGAATTTAAGAAAAATCTAAATTTCAATGAAAATTCCTAAATTGGTGGAAAGAAGAATCGACAATTCTATCAACTGTAATAAAAATATTTGATATTGCTAAATATACAGCAGCGCTAACCCAAGAAGAAAATAAATTCTGGAGAAAATCTGGTAACCAAACCAATCTTCTGTAAAATGTATTTTTTTTTTTTTTTTTTTTTTTTTTGAAAAATCTCGCACAAATACCACTAAAAATTTATAAAATTGGTGAATAGTGTCATAAAATTCGAAAAAGATTTAATTCTTTTAAAGAAATTGACCAAAACTATTAATAGATATACGTATTTTCGCAAAAATTCGAAAAAGAAATATTAAAATCAAGAATATTTCGGTATGTACCGACGGTAGGGTGAAGGACTTATTGGCCAAATTCTCGAAAATGTTTAAAAAATCAATTCCAAAATTCAAAAATTGAATCAAATTTCAAAAGAATTTAAAAATATATAAATATTTATAAAGATTATTACCAAATATTAATATGGCGAATATTTCGGTATGTACCGACTGTAGGGTGCAAATTAGAAATATACCCTAGATTGGTATGCGAGTGTATAGGCGGATTATATATTTTTTATTTCCAAAAAATAGCCCAAAATCAAATGACAACTTGTCAAAAAATTATTAATTGACTCGAAAAATACTAGTGAAAACTGCTCATTAATTGCCGAAAGTAGGGTGAATTTTTATAAAAGTCCAAAAAACTACTACGCAGCAACGAAAATAATCAATTTATTTTTATAAAAATATTCAAAAAAAATATTATTGAAAAATCACAATTTTTTCCACACGGTCCCACTGTGCGTTGCTGAATACCGAATACCGCACAAAAGGGAATAAAACACAAGCAGCGTTGGGTGAGCGACTATCACAATACAAACAAACCAACACTAACGAACCAACAGTGATAGGTGGAGAGAATAATAAATTGTTGGTAGGTTTGTTGTTAGTCGAATGACGCTAGAAAAAGGCGCGTGGAATATGAGAATATTAGTTGTTTTAGTTGTTGATGATCACAACACAAACGAATCAACGAAACAGTGAGAGTTAGGGAGATAGAATAATTTGTTGGTGTGATTACCCACAAGCAAACCAACGACAACGAACCAACAGTGATAGGTGGGGAGAAAAGAAATAAATTGTTGGTATGCTTGCTGGTTAGTAAACCGGTTTTGAGTTCTATTGTGTTGTTATTGTTGAGAATTATGACAAATATAAAAAGAAAAATATCTCTCAACAAGGCAGAAGAAGAGGTGAACAATTTAAAAAAGCCAACACAATAGATGTACGCTACAATGGCAGATTATTTCGATGAACACTAACACTTGGTTGGTAAATATTATTTAAACAACCGCATATATTAGGAAAAAATTTATATTTTTTTTCACATTAATTTAATATTAGGGGACGGAAATAAAATGCCAATAAATTATTTACACTTTCTCGTTAGTATTTAAATTGAGTGGACTGTAAAAGGCTCAATATCAATAAATAGGGTGTAACACAGGCGACCAGTACCGCGAAATATTTAAACAAAAACACTTTTTCACTGCGGTATTTATTTATTTTTTTTTATGCTCACAATAAAAACACTGAACTTACGTACCTTGTTTTTGTTGAGTATGGATGAGTAGGTGATGGTGATAAATTCAGTTGATGAAGGTATGAGGGGGGATGCGTTTTGTTGGTGATTCCTTCGTAAAAAGAGAAAAAACTTCAATTAGTTCTCGGTAATTTTCCAAATCCGGCTCGATGCGACCAAATGTTTGTATGGGGGTGTGATGCAAACAATGGAAAATAAATGAGAACACAAGGTGATTAGTTTTGTATTAAAAAATAATTGGGAGGTTTATTGAATATATTCTTTTCAAAATTACAACAAATAATTTACCTTAGTAAATTGGTGTGGCGTCAGAGGCCTTGGTGTTTTCGCTTTCAAATCTAAACGACAAGTGAACGCTGGGGCTCAGTGCAATCGCAGAGGATCGCGGTGATCGCTGAGGATCGTTGTCGTATATTACTACTACTACACTACTTCCAATGAGAGCAAGAATCTCTCATGTACCAAGGTGAGAAAAACCAACAACAACCACCGCCCGGTGGCATCTGAACTCTGCGGTCTCCGCTGAGGGAACTTGCTGAGTAGATGCCCGTTGTGTCAACCAGCAAACGTGATTGACTGAGCTCGGGAAGTTGAAGGTCAACATATCTAACTTATACACCATAATTGGTACCTGTAAAAACAAAATAAAATATAAACATACTGAAAATTAGACATTGATTTCATGACTTACATATGAAGTGAAGTTCTCTCCAATTTGTTTGTCTATATTTTAAAGATCAGATTCGTTTTAAATAGGATTTTTTAACCTTGGGAAAGAAGGAAGTCCAGTTTTGTTTCGATTCTAAGTAGAATGTTTGAGAATGTGTCAACTTTATCTGCAAAAAAGAAAATATGATTATTTCTGAACTAAAAAATATTTAATTTAAAATAAATACGTATATGTTTTTTTGCATATTATTGTATCGGAAAAAACGTACTATTTATAATCGTTATTTCCTTCTTTAAATCGTTGTATGGACGAGTTTCTGTAATAAAAGAAATACATTACTTTTGTAATTTGCCATAATTATATCAATAATTTTACTTTGAATTGCGTTCTCCTGCACTTCTTAGGAATTTAATTTCTGTTTATGAAGAGTTTAAAAAACGAACTTGTTTTAATAAGGAGACGCATTAATTTATTAGAAATATCTTCACATTTAAAAGTTTCTAATGTTGTGCAAGTGGATCCGTCACTTAAAACTATACCCGTATCAATGGATTGCATAGGTTTTTCAAAAGTTTGTGCAGTTCAAAATGCCCTTCCCTACTATATAGCACATATTATTTCTTAGAGAACTGTTTTACTGTGATTTTACATAACAAAATTTGTCTGCTTTTTTAGGCTTTAATACAAATCTGGAAGATTAAGTGATAAAATAGACCCATTTCTATTATATTTTACTGTATTTACATCTATGTGATCGTCTCCAAATATTATGATATATGCTTCAACATAGTACTGATTTTTCTCTGACATTAAAAGCCTATAGGCGCAATGTAATAAACTAAAATGATAATCGAAATCTTCATCCAATACGTCAGCTAAACTGCCGGAATTCTGTCGCTTTCGAACGATAGAGCTCTTCAATTCCTCTCTGCTTTCTGCAAAACTCGTTTGTAATATATGGGGTAATGGATAACAATCATGAAGAGGTTTCTTCTTTTTGGATTTGATTCAACTTTTTTTTTTGTTTTCTCATTTAGGAGTAACATCAAAGTTTTTTTTGTGACACCCAAATCACTGGCTTATCATGCCAACTGTTTATCAACATCCAATGATTTTTTGTGGAAATTTACACTTTTTCTTTCATTAAAATCTTCATCTGTGCGCAAAACTCCACACGATGTGCTGAAAGCCATTCTATTAACACGATGTGTTAAAACCATTCTATTATTTAAACGGCGTCCTTACTGCGTACATTTACTACATCCCTCGAATGCATTATGGCCAAATGTTTGGCAAATAAAAGCACGCGCAGGTGTTTCACAAACAAAACTTCTTATCTTTATGGTTATAGTCATATCCCCAAGTTGAAGTTCAATTTTCATGTACAGTATTTTTCGGTTAATTGACGGTTAATTGGTTTCCCCGCTTAATTGAACCACATGATTGGACAAACAAATATTGCATACGAAAACACATGTACATTTCCTCGGATAAATGAAACCTGTTAACTGATTTTCCCGTTTAATTCATTCAAAATTCATGTCATCAAAAATAAATTTCCTCTTATTTTTCACCGGTTATTGCATTATTATTGAAAAATAATTGTCATTTTCATAGATCTATGGTTGCTTTTGAGAATTTGCAAAGTATCACTTTCTGAGTCTGTTCATAAAAATATGAACATAATTTACAATGTAGATCATAAAATACTTAAGAGCCTATCATAAAAATATATTTAGATTGATAAGTGCGTGTAAGTGACAATGCTTGTGTGCGATGCTGGGGTGCATGAATAATAAGGGCAATGCCCAATTGATAATGCACTCAGCAAGGGACAAACAAGCATTTCTAGTGATAAGTACACATAATAAGATAGCCTAAGATTTCTATGATGGGCTAGCTCTTAAGTGAATTTATATTTTAAATAAAATCAGAAGCGAATTAACATCTAAACTCAACACTTCTCAAACAGTGGTCCTTCGAGAGAAAAGAAGCAGCGACCGTAAACATCAAAAAAAAGAAAATATAAAATAATAATATTAAAAACAAAAAAAATATTATAAATCCTAAAGGAAGCCTAAAAGGCTCATAAAAAATAAAAGAAGCCAAAAAGGCTCAATAAAATAAAAAGCCAAAGAAAAAATAAGGAAAAAGCCAAAAAAGGCACATCAAAAATCCAAAAAAAGGCACAAAAACAAGCAAAAAACCCAAAAAAGCCAATATAGGCAAAATATTAAAAAAGTAAAAAAAAACAAAGTAAGGCAAAAACAATCCAAAAAAAAAAAAAACAAAAAAAAATGTCGGCAGATAGACATAATTTGTACAAGGTACAAAATCAGATTCTCAAAGAAATGATTGAGATTAAGTCCCCCGCAGTCAAATAGTGGAAGGAAAAATGCAGTGCTGTCACAATTTCGCAGAAGGATTATAAAGCTCTCCGATGCCATGGAAGTAGATGTTACTGGATTCTCTAGATATGATCTGGAGAATGCCAAGTCTACGTGGGAGAAACAATTCGAAGACATCAAGCGACTACATTTGGAATTGACTACAGACCATGGCATGGAAGAAGCCGATGAAGAATTGGAGGAGATTGAAGAAAGGATGAATACGAAAATCCAAGCAATGATTGGGAAATTATGTGGCGCAAAAGAAGAAGCGCATGCGGTGGAATTGAAAAGCATAGAGATTCCAAGTTTTAATGGAAATGTGGAGGAATGGAGTTCCTTTCACGATCTATTTAAAAAAATGATAGATGGTAATATGCAACTATCGGACGTGGAAAAGTTGTATTACCTGACAACGAACTTGAAAGGAGAAGCTTTACGATTAGTGCAGCATCTGCAAATAACTGACGCAAACTATAAGGCAGCATGGGAGTTGCTGGAAAAGCGATACAGGAGAATTTTATTCACGAGGCTAGTGGATAAGATTTTGGATCACCCCAATATAAATAGTCAATCGGCATTCAGCTTAAGGAAATTACTTGATAGCGTGAATGAGAGTGTTCACGCATTGAAGGCGATGGTAATACCGTTAGACCTTGCTGATACGATTTTAGACAGGATTATTATAAGGAAACTGGACAAAGAGGGACTTATTCAGTACGAGCAAAATGTGAAAAAGTCTAAGGACATTCAAAAACTTGCAGACTTGCTGGACTTCCTGGAACAGCAATATCAAGCATTGGAAGCAGCAGCAGACAGAAGACAATACGTTCCAGGAGTGTTCAACCAGCAAGACAGATCCGAAAATGCGGAGAAGAGGTTATGCAGATTTTGCAAGCTGGTTGGTCATGACATTGTGGCGTGTAGGAAATTTGCGGCTCAATCATCGAACGAGCGATATAGTTGGGTAAAGTCAGCCCAGTTATGCCTAAAGTGCCTGAAGCACGGAAAAGAGAAGAGGTGTCTGGGCGATGGTAAATGTCGGAAATGTGGATTGAGTCATAACACACTGATCCATTTGGATAAAGTAAGCAACTCTAAGCCAATGACAACCAACACAGCAGCAAATGTTCTCCTGGCAACAGCCCAAGTCCGAGTAAGGTCTTTACATGGCGAGTACATAACATTAAGGGCTTTAATGGACCAAGTATCACAAATAACGTCGGTATCAGAGGATGCAGCGCAGCTACTGCAACTACCAAAGAGGAAGGCCGATATGAAGCTAGGAGGTCTCGGAGAGACTATTGTGGGAGTGGCAAAATCAAAAGTATTGCTCGAAATAAGACCGTGATTTTTCAGCAGTACTAAAATCAATGTCGAAGCCCTAGTTCTGCCGAAATTAGCATCAGCTCATCCTGATAGCAGCTTCCAGTACAACATTCAACGATGGAGAAACGTAAATCTGGCCGATCCAAATTTCAACAAGTCAGAAAGGATCGAGCTGGTGATTGGGGCTGACATATTCCCGCAAATATTGGAAGAAGGAGTTCGGGATGATGCAGCGATCGTGGGCCAGAACACGAAATTGGGCTGGATTCTTTCGGGAACTATACGAACGAAGCCTTTGAAGAACAACATAAGGTCCGTTGCGACAACAACTATTGAGAGGTTTTGAGAAATGGAGGAGATAGAAAACGACGAAGTTATCCCGGAAGACGAGTATTGTTTAAAACTCTACGAGGAGACAACGCGAGTAGACGACTCGGGAAGATTTGTGGTCAGATTGCCGTTTATTGACGATAAGGAGTTGGGAGAATCACATAAACGAGCAATGGCGAGATTTTTATGTTTGGAGAAAAGACTGGAACAATGTGTACAGAGTTGAGAGCGGAATATGAGAAAACAATACATGAGCTAATATCAATGGGACATATTGTAAAAGCCGATCAGAAAAAACAGGGGAAGTATTATATGCCACATCAAGCGGTTGTACGCGAAACACGCCGTACCACAAAAGTTAGAGTCGTGTTCGATGCATCATCGAAAACATCGAATGGAAGGCCGTTAAACGATATACTTCATACGGGTCCAAAGCTACAGAAAGACATATTCGACATAATCACCAAATGGAGATTGTGGAAGTTTGTTATATCAGCCGATGTGGAAAAGATGTTCCGACAGATTAGAGTTGAAGAGGAAGACCAGGACTACCAATATGTACTCTGGAGAGATGGAAAGTCCGAGCCCGTACAACAATATAAACTCACCACAGTCACATATGACACAGCGCACCTTTTTTGGCAATAAGGACGCTCATTGAAATTGGAAAGAGAAGTACGAATGGGGACATTGGCAAAAGAATAATCGAAGATTTCTACATGGACGATCTTCTGACTGGAGCACACTCAAAGAAAGAATGTCAGAATATCCAAAAACAAATAGCGAAAGAGCTGGAGACTTATGGATTTCATCTAAGGAAGTGGATCGCAAATACCCCAGATGTTTTGTGTGCGATAAATAGAAGAGAGGAAAATGAAGTTCTGCAGATACAAGAAGATGAGTGTCTGAAAACATTAGGGCTACAATGGAACCCAACCATGGATTGCTTCACATTCAACATTAAAATAGGTGATGAAGACAAAATAACAAAGAGGTTGGCATTGTCAAGCCTGGCAAAGATTTTTGATCCGTTGGGTTGGCTAACCCCAGTCACAGTAACAGCCAAGTTATTCATTCAACATTTATGGACACAACATATTGAATGGGACTCACCATTAGATGAAGATTTGAGTATGGAATGGAGTAAATTTCAACAAAGTCTCCACAACTTGCAGAATTTGCAGATACCAAGATGGTTTCAAGTAACACCTTCCAGTGGATTACAACTGCATGGATTTGCAGATGCATCAGAAAAGGCTTACGCAGCAGTAGTGTACCTGAAGGTGGGGTCCAAGGTAACAATAGTGGCCGCTAAAAGCAAGGTCAATCCAATAAAAAATGCCAAAACTCTCCCAAAGTTGGAATTAAGTGCTGCACACCTGCTGGCAAAGCTGCTCCAAAAAATTAGAAAAAACTTTAACTTCAACGGCAAAGATATACGCATGGAGCGATTCAATGATCACGCTAGCATGGATAAGCAACTCAAAAAATAAAGACAAATTTATTAGAAATAGAGTGGTGGATATTTTGGAAAGAATACCAGATGCAAACTGGGGATATATTTTAAATCTAAGGAAAATCCAGCAGATATAGGATCAAGAGGCGTTCCCCCCGAGATTTTAGTTACCAATGAGATATGGTGGAATGGACCTGCATGGCTAATAAAGGATGAACGCGATTGGCCCAAAACGGACGCAAAGACAGCAGTGGTAGCCACAACGAGGATTGCTACGATATAAAATAGTGTGTATGAAAAACTTATGAAATTTTCATCATACAAAAAGCAAGAGAGAGTTATGGTGTACATATTGCGGTTTATTAAAGCATCAAGAGGAATTAAAGCAGAAAAGGAGTATTTAACAGCGATGGAACTAGAAGAAGCTGAAATTGAAGAGCTAGAATGGCCAGCTGAAATGAAACAACTAAAATCATCAGGAGTCGTGGACCATCGGAGTAAATTAGCTTCATTACACCCGCAGTTGGACACATTTGGAGTGATGAGAGTTGGAGGAAGACTTCAGTATTCATCGTTGCCGTATAGCCAGAAGCATCCAATAATTATTCAAAAATCAAAATTAGCGGAAAACATCATTCAACAGGCCCATTCAGAAACATTGCATGGAGGAGTTCGAGTGATGGAAAACATGATCCGAAGGAAGTACTGGATTATCGGAGCAAAAAGCAGAATAAAGTTATGTTTAAGACGCTGCCCAAAACTCAACACTTCTCAAACAGAGTCGATTTATGCATGTCCGTCCGTCTGTTGAAGATAAATTGTAAACAACGTGCAGGTCGCATTTATAATCCGATTTAGATGCAATTTGGTACACATAATTTATTCGGCCCAAGGGCGAACTCTATTGAAATTGAGAAAAATCGGTTCAAATTAGATATAGCTCCCATATATATTTTCGTCCGATTTTATCTAAATGGTGCACCGAAGTCCATATACATTTTTTTAAATGGTGCAGAAAAGCCACTATATATTTTTCGTCTGTTAGGATACATATGTAGAATACATCAAAGTGGGGAAGGGTATCATATAGTCGGCCCAGTCCGACTTTATTATATTGCGGTTTATTAAAGCATCAAGAGGAATTAAAGCAGAAAAGGAGTATTTTACAGCGATGGAACTAGAAGAAGCTGAAATTAGAATTATTAACCTTCATCAAGAGCTAGAATGGCCAGCTGAAATGAAACAACTAAAATCATCAGGAGTCGTGGACCATCGGAGTAAATTAGCTTCATTACACCCGCAGTTGGACACATTTGGGGTGATGAGAGTTGGAGGAAGACTTCAGTATTCATCGTTGCCGTATAGCCAGAAGCATCCAATAATTATTCAAAAATCAAAATTAGCGGAAAACATCATTCAACAGGCCCATTCAGAAACATTGCATGGAGGAGTTCGAGTGATGGAAAACATGATCCGAAGGAAGTACTGGATTATCGGAGCAAAAAGCAGAATAAAGTTATGTTTAAGACGCTGCCCAAAATGTATCCGATATCGAGCCGAAGTAAGGAATCAGCTGAAGGGTGATCTTCCGGCATGTAGAGTGAATATAAACAATCCCTTTCAGCATTGTGGAGTTGATTATGCAGGACCGATTCAAATGAAATGCTCCAGAACTAGGGGAACAAAAACCATGAAAGGCAGTTCATTTAGAGGCAGTGAGTGAGCTGACGACGGATGCATTCCTGGCAGCGCTGAGAAGATTATTTGCAAGAAGAGGCAAGGCAAGCGATATCTATTCGGATAACGGGACGAACTTGGTAGGGGCTTCAAAGCAGTTGGACAAAGATTATGCCGATGCTATCAGAAATAATACCAAATTAGCACCTATTTTGGAAAATGAACAAATAAAGGGGCACTTTATTCCCCCGGCAGCTCCTCACTTTGGAGGAATATGGGAGGCAGCTGTGAAGTCAATGAAACATCACCTTAAAAGAATTATTGGGGAAACGAAGTTGACGTATGAAGAAATTAGCACAGTGCTATCACAAATTGAAGCAGTCCTAAATTCTAGACCGTTACATGAACTCGGTGGCAGTATAGAAGAGATCGATACGATAACACCAGGACATTTTTAATAGGGCGACCATTATTAGAGGCTCCAGCGAAAATTGATGAAGGGAACTTGGGATGCGTTAACAGGGGGAAACTACTGCAAAAAATAAAAAACATTTTTGGAAAAAGTGGAAAGAAGAATATTTGACATCACTGCAAGCTAGAATGAAATGGAGAAGAAAAGATCGGAATCTGGAGGTGGGGCAAGTGGCGATAGTGCGAAACGAAGAAACGCACCCAGCTCGCTGGCCATTAGCAAAGGTCAACGATATACATAAGGGCAAAGATGGAGTGGTAAGAGTGGTGACAGTTAAGACAGAGAACGGAGAATTGAAGAGACCTGTCCACAAATTATGTCCGTTAGAGCACGTAGAGGAATCCCCATCATCCCTGGATGATGATGACTATGGTGATGAACATGTGCATGCTGATGTCGACTAAAGCAGCAATCGTACAAGAATTGAATAGTACCTCAGCAATGTATTTGGATCCTATATCCCAAATTCATATGGCCTCATCTTCATGGAACATGGTAATTCATTTCGAAATGAAACCCTACTTGGATACGTTAGAGCTTGCAGCAAGATTGTTAAGCACGTCAAAAGAGATATGCCCAAAAGAGATATGTACAAAATACGTAAAATCAAGGCAAATAACCGTTTATTTGTGAGAGAAGATAGACGTCAAAGAAGAGGAGCTCCATTGAAGTTTGTAGGCGCTTTTCAGCATTGGACTTTCGGAGTAATGGACGACGAAGATCGATTGGCGATGGAGAATAATATGAAGAACCTATTGGCCAACCAACATGACTTAAAAGAATTAGCAACAAAGCAGACATCAGTAGTTGATTCTACGATCAATCTGCTAAAAATGACAACGGATGAAGTCAATTCACACTTTACGGAAATAAAGTGCAAAATTGAAAATATCAGCGCAACAATGAACGGGAAACATTTTGTTTATAGGGAATCCATTCGGTTCTTTATAATCACAAAGGAGATACGCGAGCGCATAGCTGAATGTGACGAAGTGCAGAAAGAGGTCATTGACGTACTGCTGGACGTTAATAGTGGTCAAGTACACCCCGTACTCCTTAGCCCCAGTCAACTGTATTCAGAAATAATGCAGATTCGCAATTCGCTGCCCGAAAAGTATGTTTTACCCGGTAAAAGTACAGGAACAGAACTGAAGGAGGTTCTGCACTTAATGAGAGGCCATGGAATGTTCGTGGACACTCAGTTAGTAGTCAACCTGAAAATACCACTCTTTAATCGACGGTCGTCTCAATTGTATAAGGTAATTCCGATCCCGTTTGAACAAAATTACACGACTATGATAGCGAGAATTAAGGCGCCATATATAGTGTACAATTTCGAGTTAGACTCATTCCACTACTTGACGCAGGCCAGGTTGAACGAGTGTAAAAGTACCTTAAGCGAGGAAATTGTGTGCGAGGAGAATCATCCATGGAGAGATGCTTCCACAAATAATTTCGAGCAAGCACCTCTGAGGCCACACATCGAGCTAAAGTGTACCTATGATGAAGTGAAGAACAGCCCATATTTTATACAGCTAAGACGCAAAGAAAACTGGTTGTTCAAGATATTCGCTAACACAACGGTTCATCTGCAATGTTCGGACAGGCAGCAAACACTATTGGAGCTGCTACAGCAAGGCATTTTACAGCTAGAGCCAGACTGCACGGCGAGGATAGATATGACAACATTGGTGGCGGGGCATAAACAAAGGAAGGAATTAGTGTCTCAATTTCACTCGGTTCTTTTGAAAGATGTGAGCCCAACGGAAAAGGAGAGCATAAAACCACTGGGAAGTACATTTCCCAGTGCAGAAATCAAGCAACTGAAGAAGGTCGTGGATAGCCTAAAAGAGGAAAACATAAAATTAAGAGGCTTGGGGTTCCATTATTGGTCTGGCCACTTAGCATTTATATTAGTTTTAATATTGTCATTAATTCTTGTAATAATAGTTTTAAGAAAAATTATAAAGAAAAACCGAATCGCAGCGATTCCGTTCCCAATGGTGCCGAATGTATAAGCAGTCTATTTGCCGGCCGGGAGAA